GCTGAAAGTGAGGATGACTTGAGGCACTTACTGATGAAGATTAAAGAACACTGTCTGCAGTATGGATTACATCTCAATATAAAGAAGACAAAAATCCTCACAACTGGACCAATAAGCAGCATCACAATAAATGGAGAAAAGATTGAGGTTGTCAAAGAATTTACATTGCTTGGTTCTACAGTTGATGCCAGTGGAAGCAGCAGTCAGGACATGAGAGGACATATAGCACTGGGTAGGTAGGCTGCGAAGGAACTCTTTCAAGTGCTGAGGAGCAAGGATGTCCCCTTGAGGACTAAGGTGCACCTGACACAGGCCATGATATTTCCAGTGACCTCGTATGCATGTGAGAGCTGGACAATGAATAAGGAAGACTGAAGAGGAGTTGATACTTTTGAGTTGTGGTGCTAGCGAAGAATGCTGAAGGTACCATGGACTGCCAAAAGAACTAACCGATCTGTTCTGGAGGAAGTGTGGCCGAGATGTTCCTTGTAAGCGAGGATGGCTAGACTTCATCTCACCTACTTTGGTCATGTTGTCAGAGGGGACTATTCCCTAGAGAAGGATGTCATGCTTGGTAAGGTGGAGGGTTGATGAAAGAGGGGAAAGCCTTTGACGAGATGGATTAACATGGTGGCTGTGACAGTGGGCTCAAGTATAGCAAGGATCATGGAGCTGGCATGGGATTGGGCGGTGTTTCGTTCTGCTGTTCATGGGGTCACCATGAGTTGGAAATGACTCAATGGCACCTAACACCATAACAACTCCTTTTCATCTGTGTCAATGTAATTTACCGCCTTGTTTTATCATTGTTTCCAGTGAATAAAGTAGCCCTACTGATGGTTAAAAACACTTAGCTCCTAACTAAAGGTGTGCCATTTCGATCCCATCAGTTGCTCCAAGGTGTTAGATGTGGCAGTGTGATTCCTTCACCATTACAGCCTTGGACATCTCATGGGACATTTCTTCTGTGTCCTATAGTGTTGGCATGAGTTGGAGTTGACTCAGCACATAACAACAATGACTAGATAGTTCACAAGAATTATTAATTTTAAGGAATACTATTATTATTATTTTTTAAATATGGGAAATAAATTTTAATTCTACTAGTACATACAGCTTATGGATTTACTGCATCAAATATGTTTTACCTTATGTACATCTGTTGTTGTTGTTGTTGTTATGTGTCGTCGAGTCGGACCCGACTCATAGCGACACCTCCTTGGGTTTTCCGGGGCAGTATCACTATGGAAGTAGATTGCCTCATCTTCCTTCTGAGGAGTGACTGGTAGGTTTGAACTGCCAGCCTTCTGGTTAGCAGTCAAGTGCCTTAGGATTAAGTGACCTTAATTTAACCAGTCATATGTTTCAGTCTGTAGTAATAAATCATGCAGTTTTTTTCACTCCTGTGTTTTTCTTAACTTTTCTTAACTGTAGAATTAGCATAGTATTTCACAGAAGATTCTCATTTTTCTTCTAGACTAGTGACTATAAGCTATACATCTAGTTATTTACCTGTACAAGTGACCTTTTTACTTTTATTTCTTTATAAGTTTGTTAGAAACAATAAAAAGCAGGACTTTAAAACCAAAACACCTACATGGGCTCTTTTCCCACAGGGCAATGTGGAACAGATAAACTAGAGAATAAGCACTTGTTGCTTAAGATGTTCATCATGGACATCAGTTCTTCAGTTTGCAAACCGATACCTTTTGTAATGTAATAAACAGATTCTAGTTCTCCAGGAGACAAGGATTTGTACATTTAATTCATTTCATGAAGATTTATTCTGTAGTGGACACTGATAATTTTATATCTTAAATATTTCTGGACACATCAGTTCAGGCCTATATCATCTTTATTTGCACTGTTGCTTTCTAATTAGTTTTCCGGCATTCTTTCTTTTTCTTTTTTAAAATTGTGATGTGAGGGGAAATTTAAAGAGTAAATTAGTTTTCCTTTCAGTTCTCTGTTCTTATGCCCCTCAAATTCATCCTCCCACAGCATTTAGAGTGATCTATATCACATGTAAATATAACCATGGACTACTCATTCAAACATCTTACTTAATGTCCTAGCATATGAGGCCTTTTATCATCTAACTTCTACTCAGCTCTCCATCTTTAGCCTTTTCCCCTCCCTGCTCAATTATCTGACAAGATATATAAATAAATAATATGTATTATGTAATAATATTATAATATTTAATATATAATATTAATACAAAGAAATAATTGCAGTTCAGGGAGGTAAATATACAGAAGAAATTTTAAAAGTAGTAGTGTAACAGCAAGGAAAGAGACACTTAAGTTACCTGGGGAAACATAGCCATAATCAAGGAAGACTTTATACACATAGCTGATTGAGTATTAAAAGATGAAAGCAATTTGTCATACAGAATAGTGGAGGAAACATTTCATACAAAAAGAACAGGGTGTACATTAAGAGAGGTGTAACAGTAAGTTTGGAAACTGAACATTGCTGCAACTGAGGCTAGTGTGTTTAAAAAAAGTACTATTAATGAGGTAAAGAATAGTGTATATGGTGGCTTCATATGTTCCTATTATATTTTTTATTGTTTTGTTCCTTTATGTTGGGTGGATGGATTTGTGAATGAATCTTTGAGGTGTTTATATCTCTTGAACCTGGTAACATCTAGTGTCCCTTTAAATGATTTGTTGACGTTTTAAAAATTATAATTATTTCTTAAACAAGTAAACATTCAGTTTAAGGTTAAGCTTAATTTAAATTCTCATTTGGTGTAAAATACTATTTTCTGTCTTTTTTTATGAAGGTTAAAAATTTTATCTCACTGTTCTATGTGTATATTTTAACTGAATATTGATTTTTTTCAGCAGAACTGGAGTTAAAAATGAACTCAGAAGAAGAGCAAGACAGACTTGATGAAAGTGAAAATAATCAGTCACAAGTATGTAAAAATTTTAATTTAAATTTCTCATTTATTATTCATATGCTTTAATACCTAGCATAGTCCAAAAGACATTACGTTTTGGACAACACTTTGGGATTTATAGATTATATCATACTTTATGTTCAATTTTTAAAACATTTTAAGTAGTTAAAAAATGTAAAGTTTTCTTAGAATCTATAGTAATGTGTGGCTTTACTTTAAATTTATCCTTGGAAAAGAGGGAAATAAAATTCCTGAATATTATTTGCTTCTTTCGTTTTTATAACCTCTTTACATGATACGTAAGCTGGATTCAAAAGAAGACGTGGAACAAGGGATATCATTGCTGATGTCAGATGAATCTTGGCTCAAAGCAAAGAATGCCAGAAAGATGTTTACTTTTGTTTTATTGACTATGCAAAAGCATTCGATTGTATGGATCATAACAAATTATGGATAACATTTCGAGGATTTCACAACACTTAATTGCACTCATAAGGAACCTGTGCATAGACCAGGAGGCTGTTTGAACAGAACAAGAGGATACAGCATGGTTTAAAATCGGGAAGGGAGTGTGTCAGGGTTGTATTCTTTCACCATACTTATTCAATCTGTATGCTGAGCAAATAATCTGAAAAGCTGGACTATATGAAGAAGAATGTGGCATCAGGATTGGAGGAAAACTCATTAACAGCCTGCGATATCCAGATGACACATCTCTGCTTGCTGAAAGTGAGGATAACTTGAAGCGCTTACTGGTGAAGATTGAAGACCACAATCTGCAGTATGGATTACACCTCAATATAAAGAAAACAAAAATCCTCACAACTGGACCAATAAGCAACATCACAATAGAGAAAAGATTGATGTTTCCAAAGACTTCATATTACTTGGTGCTATGACCAACACCAATGGAATCAGCAGTCAAGACATCAGACAATGTATTACATTGGGCATATCTGCTGCAAAAGACTTCAAGTGCTGAAGAGCAAAGATATCTCCTTGAAGACTAAGGTGTGCCTAACCCAAGCCATGGTATTTTCAATTGCCTCTTATACATGTGAGAGCTGGACAATGAATAAGCAAGACCAAAGAAGAGTTGATGCTTTTGAGTTGTGGTGGTGGAGAAGAATACTAAAAGTACCATGGACTGCTAAAAGAACAAACAAATCTATTCTGCAAGAAGTGCAGCTGGAATGCTCCTTGGAAGTGAGAATGGCCAGACTTCATCTCGCCTACTTTGGTCATGTTATCAGAAGGGACCATTCCTTGGAGAAGGATGTCATGGTTGTTAAAGTGGAGGATCAATGAAAAAGGGGAAGGTCTTCAACAAGATGAATTGACACAGTGGCTGCAACAGTGGCCTCAGGTTTAGCAAGGATTGTGAGGCCGGCACAGGACCAGACAGTGTTTCAATCTGCTGTACGTAGGGTCGCCGTGAGTCGGAGATGACTTGATGGCACCTAACAACAACAACACCATTACATGGTAAATTCACTATAAATATTGAACCATATGATTAAGAAGTGGAAATTATGAACAATATAGCAATGATAGCCAATGAATTGGATTTGTGTAGATGGAGTTATTACTCTCAGTGGTTCAGGTTTTGAAGTTTCCTATGCCAGCCACTAATGGCAAGGTTAATGATTAATTGTGGCTATGATCTCTGTGTAATTGACTTGAAAGTGTATATTCAGGAAGAGAATGGGGTCATAAAATTAACCCAACTGCCTATTAAGAGAATCACATCTTTCAGAACGGGGCATTTGGTATTTGGGTACAAACAATGACTTTCTAACTTACTCACCTCAGTGCTTTCTTTCTATTTCATTTTAGTATAGGAAATCAGTAAATATTGTTTAAGAAAACGTTATCCACTCCCATTAAAAAAAACAAATTCACTGCCGTCAAGTCTAATCCAACTCACAGTGACCCCTCTTTGGGTTTGCGAGGCAGAATTACTACAGAAGTAGATTGCCCAACCTTCCTTCCGAGGAGTGGCTAGTAGGTTTGGACCACCAGCCTTCTGGTTAGCAGTCAAATGCCTCAGGGAACATTAAAATGTATTTGAACTGAACTCCAGCAGGTAACCTGTATAGGTATACAACACTATCATATTATATAATTTGAATCAAAATTTAGCAATTTCCTTTTCTTTCTACTTGATGTTAATTGACTGAGGCTACTAATAACTTAAAGTTTGCCCACACTTCAGGTATTAATTAATAAATGTCTTAAATGCATGGTAGGGGCTCACTATTGAAGGTATGATGAAGTCAGACCTTTTTAAATGAGGAAGCATTTGTAATATTAAAAATCATCTCCAAATTCATTTTTTATAGGTTTAATATATAATGAATTAACTTTAGTCCAAAAACCCAGTGACAAAATTAAGTTTGCTGGTTCATGTTTTTCTTATATTTTAGTTTAAGGAAATTTATTTTTCACTTCTGAAGTACAAGTCAGTGATTTGAAAGTACCTAAAAGTAGATTAAAAAGTTTAACAGTTAAATTTTAATTGTTTTCTAAGTTTTCTTTGTCCATACTTGATTACCTAAGGACAGTTATTTTGGCTGAATGATGATCCCACAGAACATGGAAATTATCAAACAATATCACTGATATCACATGCAAGTAAAATTTTACTGAAGATAATTAAAAAACGGTTGCAGCAGTATATTGACAGAGAACTTGCAGAAATGCAAGTTGGATTCAGAAGGGAACATGGAGCGAGGGATATCATAGCTGATGTCAGATGGATCTTGGCTCAAAGCAAAGAATACCAGAAAGATGTTTACTTGTATTTTATTGATTATGCAAAGGCATTCGATTGTATGGATCATAACAAATTATGGATAACATTGAGAAGAATGGGAGTTTTAGAACACTTAATTGTCCTCATGAGCAACCTGTGCATAGACCAGGAGGCTTTTGTTCGAACAGAACAAGGGGATACTGCATGGTGTAAAATCAGAAAGGGAGTGCATCAGGGTTGCATCCTTTTGTAGTTGCTCAGTCTGTAAGCTGAGCAAGTAATCTGAGAAGCTGGGCTATATGAAGAAGAACGTGGCATCCAGATTGGAGGAAGGCTTATTAACAACCTGAGATATACAGATGACACAACTTTGCTTGCTGAAAGTGAGGATGACTTGCAGCACTTACTGATGAAGATTAAAGACTACAATCTGCAGTCTGCAGTCTACCTTATATGCATGTGAGAGCTGGACAGTGAATAAGGAAGATAGAAGAAGAGTTGATGCTTTTGAGTTGTGTGTTGGAGAAGAATGCTGAAAGTACCGTGGTCTGCTAAAAGAACAAACAAATCTGTCCTGGAAGAAGGGCAGCTGGAATGCTCCTAGGAAATGAGAATGGCCAGACTTCATCTCACCTACTTTGGTCATGTTGTCAGAAGGGAAAATTCTGTGGAGAAAGATGTCATGCTTGGTAAAGTGGAGGGTCAATGAAAGAGGGGAAGGCCCTCAACAAGATGGATTGACATGGTGGTTACAGCTATGGGCTCAGGTATAGTAAGGATCGTGAGGCTGGCACAGGACTGGGTGGTGTTTTGTTCTGTTGTATATAAGGTCCCTGTGAGTTGGAGATGACTTGACGGTACATAATATCAACAACAAAAGAGTTATTTTAAAAACATGCACCTTGGCAGAAAAGACATCTGAAAATCGAAACAAGCAAGTTAATCTTCCACTTCTACTTTTCCATCTGTCAAAAATGCTTCCAGAAAGAGAAATGAATAGGGAGTGTGATAGGATATATCTGTGTATTCAAACCTTCCTTGTGTGCCAAAGTAGGAAGAAATAAGGATCAACCAAGGCAAATTAGAGGTGAAAAATAATTAAAAACTCATCACAAATAAGTTAAAACAGAAATTTGGTGACATTTGTTCAAAATAAAAAATTGCTGCTTGTCTTGAGGAAGAGCCACTACAGGACAATTCTAAAGAAGGCGCAGACTTAAAGGAAACCCCTTCTAGTTTGTCAGATACTTGAGCTCTGGTAGCATAGTGCCTAAGGCACTTGACTGCTAACCAGAAGGCTGGCGGTTCAAACCCACCAGCCACTCCTCGGAAGGAAGGTTGGGCAATCCTACTTCCGTAGTGATACTGCCTCGGAAACCCAAGGAGGGCTTGCTATGAGTTGGGACCGACTCGACGGCAAATAACAACAACAACAACATACTTGATTGTAGGAGCTCTGGTAGCATAGTGCCTACAGCACTTGACTGCTAACCAGAAGGCTGGTGGTTCAAACCCACCAGCCACTCCTCAGAAGGAAGGTTGTGTAATCTACTTCCATAGTGATACTGCCTTGGAAACCCAAGGAGGGGTCGCTATGAGTCAGATCTGACTTGACAGCACATAACAACAACATACTTGATTGGGAGGAAAAAGATGCATCTGGAGTATCCTTCTCTGTAGGGTTCCAAGCACTTCCTGAGCTAAGAGAACCTAGTCTCTGTGACCGTCTGTTTTTCTATCCTTTGTACTCTGCAGCCCAAAAGTATGCTTCCCAGTCATCTTCTAAGCTTCATTTAAATAATAACAAATTAGACTTTGAAAATGATAATAAACCAGACACTCAACATGTTTTTAACAAAAACAAGAAGAGTGTAATGTTGCAGAAAGTGAAAATGTGAAGAATGCAGAAGTAGCTACAATTGAAATGAAAAAAGACCAAGAGTTTGACATGCAAATGGCAAAAAATAAGAACCAAAATACTACTAAATGGGAATTAGCTATCAAACATGCCTCCACCTAGTGATCCAAAAAGCCTTTTTGGTTCATGGGTTACCCGCTCTGGTGAAATGAAGTACATGATTACAATAAAATGCTACAGACTTTCTGCCATCACAAACATTTATGAGAAGTCAAAACCAATATAAGACTTGTTCCAGAAGTTATTATGTGATAATTGCAGTGCAAATACTTCTAAAAGCATGGACCTTGAATTAGGAAATAGTGAGTTATACTGCACCATATGATAAGGGAGCTCTGGTAGCACAGTGGCTAAGACACTTGCCTGCTAAGCAGACGGCTGGCGGTTCAAACCCACCAGCCACTCCTCAGAAGGAAGGTTGGGCAATCCTACTTCCCATAGTGATACTGCCTCGGAAACCCAAGGAGGGGTCACTATGAGTCGGGTTTGACTCAACAGCACATAACAACAACAACAACATATGATGGTAAAATATCACAAGTATATCTCAGTGAAGAATTACAGTAAGACATGCAAAGATTTAAGAATGAGGTAGGCTTTTTACAGGTAGAATTTCTGGCTTTGGGCAAAGAGAAAGATCAACTTCAAAAAGAGGTGGAAGTTAATTTGCTGCTGCTCTTTGTTTTTCTTCTTTCCCAATTATCTGATCCATTCTGATTTGCTACTTATGAAAAGGTTGTGTAGAAAATGGTGTTGTCTGCTTATATAATGGTGATGGATTATTTCTGCCACCTAAATGAGTTTAGTAAAGCTTTTTTATGACTTGCATTTCTTAATCAACCTAAGTCTCTCTGTCAGTCTTTGGTTGCATATGAACTGGCAAACTAATTTAGCTATACACCTTGTGACCTTCTGAAACAGAAGAGATGTAAAGGAAATTGCTAAAAAGTATAGCAAGTTCTTTTTTAAGTTACACTTTCTTAGACAATAAAATGAGAAGCAGTAACAGAGAAGGGATATATAAAAATGTATGTAAGCTTGAGAGGTGTAACAAATATTCCCAGATAAACTAATGTATTAACTTTTATTTGTACAAGTTTATCATCTTTACCCAAAATCTTGGAATTTATAATTCCAAAATGATCACTTAGACATATTTTTAATAAATGTATATCCTTCCTCATATTTTTTAAATCACCATTCTCAAATAGTTTCTGTTGAGTCACATCTTTACATTATCTTATGCAATAAAGTATAGTAACTTGTTGACATGTATGATTTTATCTTATAGGTAGCATAAAGGCTTAGCAAAAAGTTCAGTACTTAACTCCAAAATAGAAAGCTGAGTACTAAGGTGCATTGACCTTTAAAATGAGGGGGAAAAAAAAAATCTAGAGCTATTCTTCTTTAAACCATTGGTAGATGAGGCCCCATTAAGGGATTCAATCAGTTTGCCCCAGTTACACATTTAATTCTTCAAATTCACAGGAACTTTGGATGAATCATTTAACCTTCCTAGGTTTTGCTCTCATTATCAATAGATGGTGGAACTATAGTGGATAATTCCTTTTATACCCTCTAGATACAAAGTTTTATGGTTATTGAATATGAAACGTAAGAAACTACTGATTTTCCAGAATTCCTCACTAACAGTTTAGCAATTTCATTCTGCTCCTTGTATTATTTATGGTAAATTTTGGTTCATATGATATATTGACCACTTTCATTTTTTTGATATTACCAGGTTTCAAGTGAAAAAAGAATTGTGGAAGACATTGAGGGGAAAGAGAAGCTTAGTGTAGAAAGGGGAAGCTTCATTTCTGTTACCAAAGCCCATAGTGTTATACCTTCTAGGATGGTCTGCTTAATGGAAAATCTAAGTGGTAAAGACAGAAGAGGATAGATTGTGTGTCTTTGTCTTTTTATATTTCTGTCTCTGCCAGTCAAATAGGGGTGAAAATATTACGTAGTAACGAGTGGGCATAAATAAGAGCACAGAATTAAGAAAAGTCTTTTTGAAATTTTGGGAAATTCTGCTTTTTGATCCAAACAGAAATGAAGAGGATTGATAAATATTTCAGAGGCCTGTAATGATAAAATTAAAGTAAGCACAAAAATATTTTTTGTGATTGAAATCATGACAGTTCTTTTAACTGAACGAAGTAATGATAATTATCCTAAGAAACAAACTTTCATTAAAGGTTGAAGAAGAAAGGAAGAAGTTCAAAAGTAGTGAATTTAAAGTATCAGAACACATGTATGACTCTGCTGCTGACAATAATGATGATGAATTAATTCCACAAGGAAAGTGTGGAAAAATTGATAATCAGCAATTTCTCATTAAGGAGAAGGAAGATTCGGATAGGTAAGCCTATAGAAGTATTTAATGGTAGGTATTGTTATTTCCTTATAAAGCTAATTCTTTTTGGGCTACTGTTAGGATAAACAAGTTGTATAAGTTTGTTGGAGATGATCATCCTTACTTATTAGCCCGAAAAATGAAATACTCTCTACAATCATTGTATTAAAATAGTAAAAACCTCACAATGACAAATGTGAGGGAAAAGACATTTTCATATAGTGTTGGTATATGTTGTTGTTAGGTGCCATTGAGTCATCTGACCCATAGCAAGTCAGATGTATTTGCTGTGTACAGCAGAACATAATGTACATAGCAGAGAATACCAGAAAGATGTTTACTTGTGTTTTATTGACTATGCAAAAGCATTCAATTGTGTGGATCATAACAAATTGTGGATAACATTGAGAAGAATGGGAATTCCAGAACACTTAATTGTACTCATGAGGAACCTGTACATAGACCAGG